TGACGACAGTTTTGCGTTTCGCGACCACGACCCCTCCGATCCCTGTGACCGTTGACGCTTTTGAGACGCGAAGACCCGAGAAGAGTCTAAAAGTGACGACAGTTCTGTGATTCGCGACCACGACCTTTCCAATCCGTGTGACTGTTGACACTTTTGAGACGCAAAGACCCGAGACGAGTCCAAAAGTGACGACAGTTCTGCGTTTCGCGACCACGACCCCTCCGATCCGTGTGACTGTTGACACTTTTGAGACGCGAAGACGCGGGACGAGTCCAACAGTGACGACAGTTCTGCGTTTCGCGACCACGACCTTCCCGATCCCTGTGACCGTTGACTCTTTTGAGACGCGAAGACGCGAGACGAGTCCAAAAGTGACGACAGCTCTGCGTTTCGCGACCACGACCTTTCCAATCCTTGTGACTGCTGACACTTTTGGAACGCGAAACGTAACAAGTGATGACAGTTCTGCGTTTTGCGAGGGTTTGCGACTCCCGACGATGCGCGAGACTCTCCGACACTCGCGAAGGCTTGCGAACGCTTGCGGACGCTTGGCAAACATAAACGCAACGCCCTCGCGTCGCCTCCGGACCCCTGGACCCCAACCTTAAAACGGGAACCCTTCTGCTACGCATTCGGGAACAAGTTTTGGAAATGGCTAGTCCCCCCATTTTGAAACCCTTTTTGGTGCTTTGCTGGCCCTTACGAATCGACGACGCCCCCGATTTTATAGCCACCGATTTTGAGTTTACGCGGACTTTTATGGTTTCCTCTCATTTTATAGTGGAGGGGTGAGGCCAGTATCAGAATCTGGCCGGGGATATAAATGTAATCAGCATCTGTTACATGTCAGCGAGAACACAAATCTGCACAGCTGCGGGGTTGTGTATGCGTGTGTACCCACTGCTTGCAAATTCTAAGGGTTTTACATTGCAGGGAGACAGAGGGGGGGCCCCTTTGACGCACTTGGGGCCGGCGTGCCAGTTGGTGGTCATGGTGAGGGCGCCCTTTTCCCCAGCTCTACCCCGAAGGCCTTTTTATAGCTCCTTAGGACGACGCCGATGATGTTGAAGACGAAGACGATGGTCCCCGCAAGGGCTTGCCCCCTCTTGAGGGCTTACCTTCCCCCAAACTGTTGCCCGGATGAGCAAATTGATTTCTAGCTGTCAGGAACTGCGACACTTTTTTCCCATCAGTACATTTTTAGTCGGTCGTGCATGTATAACTGTGTGTTTGGCCAGTAGACGCAACAGAAGGCTGATACTGCAGGCACATTTGACTGTCCCGGCAGCCATCAGCCTCCAGTTACTCTCAGCGTTGGTGTTTTCGACTTCCCACCTGCCATCCCGTGTCTCCACCTGGACTTTTGGCTTTCTCTCTTTGCCTTAAGGCCTCTGCCCTTTCGTGCCTCTCTCCTGGGTTCAGTCTCAGGCATGCTCCCTTCTGCCTGCTTGGACTTCTGCCTTGGACTTTCGTGTGTGGGACTGAAGCTACTATGCTTCTGCCCTCTCTGCAGCAGCCCGCATTGCCGCCTCGTCGTGCTTTTGTACTGCAGGCCGTTGATGCAGCCTGCTCCTGCCTGTAGTTTCCCCTCGCCTGCAGGTCCTGTTGGACCCAGTTTATCTGCCACTGGACCTAACCTTAGGGAAAAAGGAGCGCTCACTTTCTGCCGCTGTTTTTCCTGTCTCTGAAGCTTAAGCTGACTTGACAGACCAGTCTGTCTGCCAAACCCGCCAGTGTTCGACATCACAAAAGGTACCCCCTCCCATTTCCTTGTGTCGTTGTCAGCATGCGCAGACGTCAGCATGACGCTTTTTGAAATTTAGACATGCATGGAGCCATGCACGTATCAAACGGCGAGCCAGTTTCTTTACGAAGCGGAGCCGAGCGCCAGCTCTCAGGTGACTTGAGGCGACTTGAGCCACTTACAGCAGAGCAGTGCCTTATGAACAGTCCTGGCATCTACATCCTGCATTGCTGCAGTGTGAGGTTTCGTGGACACTGGCGTGATGGCGGCACTTTGTTTCGCCTTCACTGAGATAGTTCTTCCCCGAGACTTGCAGAAACTTGGTTGTACCAATTTTAGATCGAAAGTAAATGCAGCTGGCAGAATCAGGGATGCCGGGGTCAAGTGCAATTGGCAATGCGACCCGGATAGAAGATGCGAGTCCCATGATTTCGTCCTCTTAGCTTGGTCCTCACTCACTTTCGCCATGAAGGTCTTGGCACAAGATCGCACATAGTGCTGAAGTGGCTAAGGCGTTTGGATCGGGTGACCTGGAGCCTGGCTGAGGCCCTGCTGCCTTTATACAAAAGAGGCAGAAGCTGTAGCCACATAGACTGCCCACGGCACGTTTGAAGTGATCTGGCTGGTAGCACCTGCCGCAGCAGCTTTCACGGGTAGTAGCAACTGCAGCAGGCATTACAAAGTTGTGCTAAAATGCTCACCTGTCAAACTTTTGACAAAGGGCATTCTGGTTGCAAGCGGGAAGGTTTGGGTTCGCCAACACCTGCGAGCGCAACGAGCTGGGCAACTGAGCCCCGGCATGCCATGGATAATCGATTCAGTGGTTTGCTCGTTTAGGCGCCTGAGAGCACTGAGGAGGGAAGCTCCCCTGTTCAGCAGCAGCCGGGAGCTTTCGGGACCAGCTTTGTGGAAGAATCTCGGCTGCCTGCTTTCTGCATTGTATTCACAGAAGTTGTGTGCCCAAATCAATTTGAGATAGCCCTGGTGGGAGCCGCGGCGTCATACCAGTGTATGCGTGATGCGCACGAACCCTGTTTTTGGTGTTTGTGCAGGAGTCGGGGAGAAACATGCGTGATTGTCTTTCTAAGTCACCTCCTGGCGGTGGACGTTCTACATGAGCTTCTCTTTTCGGAACTTTGCCAGCAAGCGAAAAACTGGTTAGGCTGACGAGCCATGTACGGCCCAGTAGGTCCTATCTGACCCAAAGCTGAGACGATTATGCTGCACTGGAATCGCTATGCTCCTTTGCCAGCCTCAGAGCGGGTGCTGCTCCAGGATTGGGTGGCTCCTTGGCTTTCCTGATCTGTTGATGCACATCACGCAGTTGGAGTCACCATTCACCACTTGGGCCATGGCCACATTCAACATTCCGTGGCATGGGAAAGATGAAGAAGTCAGAATTTTTGCTCTCTCTGTTGAAGTCGGCTGTGGGTGTGCCGGTGGCCAGTGGATAAGTTTATGTTTTGTGACGCCATCGCGCACCCATCAGATCATGAAGCGGCGCGTCTGGTGCCAAGGATATGCATCGAGTAGGAGGCAATCAGACACAGCGGCTGCAGTGGTTGATCAATGGTTTTGACGGGTTTTGCACATGTATAAGAATCAAATTGCTACGCGGTCGCTGAGTGTTGAGAAGGATTGTCCCAGCGGTGGTGCTGACACCAATCTTCGAGGCAAGTTCGCAGGTTGTGACTCTGAGTTCCGAGCTTGAGACTTAAGATGGATTGTGCATGGCAGCGCAAAGCAACAAATTCAGCGGCATGCAATGGCTTAGCGGTGCAAAGTGTCAGATGGTCAGCAACTGGAGCTGGGAGCCGCTGCACATTGGAACTCCGAGCATCTCAGATGCCACCGTTGATAGGTCACCGTACGCCGTACGCTTGGTGCCGAATCTTTCCAAAACGTGTCAAGGCCCTGATGCCAATAGCAATGAGGATTTACACACACTCTTCGATGGCTTGGCATCTCTTGGGCATTGAGTCATTCATGTTCATGGCGCGAAGCTTCGCTGTGCAAATTCCTGGCATTCAATGCTAAGGCATCTGTTGAGGGATGGGCGTATACGCTTGGCAATGATTTCCTGACCCATGTGGACGAGACAGCTCATGGAATCATGGAGCAGGAGCACATCCACAAAGCGCTTGGATATGTGTGAAGCTTGCTTGAACTATGTCGAACTACCACCCTGGAACATTGTGCATATCCGATAGCTGTGGTAATTCAACTTTCACGTTTAATTTTTTGCGTTCCGAACGCCGAGGCGAGGGCACCTTTTCGGCAAGGGATCCTATCGGGCAGAGCGCTGTAGCAGCGCCCATAAGCCACGCCGTCAAGGCAGGTGCAGACGCGGTCGGTCGCCTGTGTGTGCTTTGATGTTCTTTGGAGAGTGCGGCTTCTTACGAGCTCATCTCGTTTGAAAGGGGCCCACGCCAGGCCGTGTGTGCTCAAGATGCAGAAGGGATGAACTTCTCTTCAGATGCTGCCCGCATCAGAGCTATGGCTGGTTTTTTTTTTGGTAAATGGCGCAGCGCATGGATTCGAGCGCATTCCTCCTGCGATTACCGTGTCGAATGGACCATCCGTGCTACACACTGGTGGCCGTTGCCTTGTAAGAATGTCTTAGAAGTGCCCGCAAGATGTATTAAAGGGTAAGGGCCATCCCTGCTTACGCTTTTGGGTGTGAGTCTTTAGGCGTGCGATGCCCAGCAATTCAAAGACTCGAACAGACTGCAAGTACAGTAGGGGGGATCCGAAATGTCACATTTACGACGTGTATGAGAGGGGCAGCCGGGTGCTCAGTCACGATTGTGCATCCACGCAAGATGCCAAACTGTGGCGGGTGTTCCGGCTTGGGCTGGGATTGGCCGCACATCCAACTCTTACATGTATACGCAGCTTATGCAGTACTTAAAGTTAACATGTCCCGTGTAGTTTGTATGCGGGCAGTGCTCTTGTGTCTGTGTGTGTGTGTCTGTGTGTGTGTCTGTGTGTGTGTGGGATTGTGCGGCCCAGAATTGCACTGGCCTGCTTTGATTGTATTATAGCCTAGCTCTACTTCTCCCGCCCGCCGGCCCGGGGGTGGGGGACTCGTGCCTTTCAGCATGTGCGACCAATGCAAAAGTAGCTGTGCGACATTTGCATCATGACTGCTGCGTAAGAACGTGTGAGGTTGCATTTTCGTGGGCACAGCAGTTCAAGATCGTAAGTTGCATATGTTGCATGAAGGTCATCCTTTTGTTCCCAACCATATAGGAGAACCGACCATGAGAATGCTGTCGTATTCTTAGTGCACATGACCTTACAAGGTATAACAATTGCGACATATTGCAACATGTTTCGACAGTAGCAATCTGACATTTAAGCGAAACCCGACTGACGAAGCCATTTTCATCATGATTCGCGTATGTTTTGGAGGCGCCGACTTGCAAGATCTTGTAACAACATGAGCTCACCTGATGGCCGTCCCTTGGATATTGCCACGGGGATATCATGGAAGCCTTGCAGCACACTTTTTGTGCAGTCAGTACTAAGTACTAACGGCATCTAACAGCCATCCATCTCACCCATGTTGCAGCATTCTTGCTTGAAACCGCTGCAGCCATCTGCAGCCGACGAAGGAGTTTATGCTCTCGGCATTCAAAAGTGCTTCTGAACCCCACTGCAAAGCTTGCAGCTATTCAGAGCATGCCCAGCATCTCAGGTTTGGATTTCTTTATGCGGCCCGCTTCTGTTCTTGGCCTTTGACCAGGTGGCGGGCACTTCCCAGAATCAGTAGATTTGCGCGAGTCTTTCCCTGTATGATGGGTTTGGATGAAGCAGAGCGGGACCGTAATCTGAGATTTGACAGCGTTTCTCTTCACGCCTCACGCCTGATAAATGGCACGATGTCCCCAAAAAGGTGAGAAAGGGTCTCTGGATGCTTCCTGTCTCAGAGGTCACCTGCCCCTTCGCTTTCGTGTACACCGGTGATGCTCAGTTGGCGGACGTAAATCCTGGCAGAGCATTGCCGACTACGCTGCATGTAGAGCTTCATGGGGCCGGTTGCGTCAGCCGGCGAACAACTGCCAGCAATTGGGTCCATTCTCTTTGAAGGTTTTCGCTTGAAGCCCTACCGCGACGAGACGACCAGGCTTCAAGGCGGTTCCGTACTCCTTCAGGCTGAAAAGGTTGATATTCATTGAGAACCTTGTCGAAGGTCAGAGATGGGTTGGTTGTCTTGTGAAAGCTCTACGATCCTAGGTTTGCCTTGGAGACTTTTCCGTTCGTTGTGGTCGTTGCTGCCAGGCTTGAGATCATCCTTTTGCTGCCGGATGGTCGTTGGCATATCTGCTCTCTCCAGAAGCTTCAAGCTCAGAGACTGCTGTCTGGTCTACAGTGAATTTCGCATTGTTGTGCCAGCTTCGAGTACTGGTTCAGACGGGTTCAGGCGGCATTGCCCTTACTTGTGCTGGTGCTGGTGCTGGTGCTGGTGCTGGTGCTGGTGCTGGTGGTGGTGGTGGTGGTGGTGGTGCTGCTGCTGCTGCTGCTGCGGCTCCTCCTACCTCCACGTAAGACAGAAGCAGCTAGCAACGCGGTGCAAAGACAGGACAAAGGCAAACCAACGGCAAACAAATTGAAACTAACTCCTTGATGCGGGGGGGTGGCTTTTTGATTTTCTGCAGCCGCAGCAAGGTTGGTGCTGCAGCTGGCTGATCCGACGCTTGGCATCTGACCACACGAGTGACTCCTTAAATTGGACAAGTGTGTCAAGGGTGGCTTAGTTGCCTCGTTGGGTGTTGCACGGACTGACTTATCTAGAGCGTACCAGGATGTTCCTGAGTTTGTCCGGTGGTGCTCCAGGAGACATTTGAAAGATTGGATGACCTGCTTTGCGGATCTGGCTCTCAAAGGATCTGGTGGGGGGTTGCAGCTTGTCAAAGAGCCTTGCCGTTCATATGCTCTTGCCGCCAAGTGTGGAAGGAGCTGGTGGAAATTCCCTGAAGCATATTTGAGCTGAGTAGGCAGACTGTAGGCAGACTGTAGGGCTTTAGGAGGCCGAAAAGCTTGAGACATTGTGTTTCACTACCTACTTGCTCCAAAGGACGTGCAACAGCACATTGCGAGCACGCCTGAGCACAAGGAAAATGAATGAGGGGTTTGGAGTCCTCTCAGAGCTCAGGGTTTTTGGGTAGCAACGCGGCGCTGGTTGTAAACCAAATGCGTGGGAGACGCCACGGGATGCCGCCTTGAAGTAAGGCACTTATCCAAGCGCTAGCTCCGCTACTGGAGGAGGCCAGAGTGGGCTTGCTGGAAAGGCATTCTCTGATGTGCAAGCTTGAGCGGATTGCCGTGTCTTGACAGAGTGTTTAGGGTATTTGTAGCACCTTGGAAGGCTAAGGCTTGCAGGCATGTGGCTCACTCAGCTAGTGACCAGCGGATAGCATCTAAATGCTGTCCAGCGCCAAGCCAGGAGCAAAAAAGTTGAAGTGTTGACACCACTAGCAGGGGCTTGGCGCAGTGGCGATGGGTTTGCATATGTTGCTGCAGTCATCGAAACAGCACCATGGCTGATTCAGCTCCAACATCCGCTTGTCAGGATAACCAGGCATGAGTAAGCATGCTGGGAACTTCCAGCCACTGGTTCGGCACGATCTATCATAAACATCCAAGACAGCTGTCATTGACTTAAGTCTGACTTGCAAAAGATTCAGGGCTAAGCTGGCTTGAACATGGCTCAGAAGAGGACACTTGGTTAGCTGGAGCCCTTCAGTGAATTGTGCCAGCCGCTTTTGTGGATGATCCTTTGTTCAGCTTATTATTGTGTTTCAAGTTCTCACCGAAGCACCTTTGCGGTTGTGTGTTTCCTCACCTGACAACAAAGCACGTCATTGCCCCAACGAAGGTCAGCTTGCGCGATCCTGCTATTCAGCTTCAGTGCGGCCGTGCTGTTGGGCGCTCTGGAGGTGTTGTGGTTGACGGAGGCTTCAGCCCCCAGGTGATATTGTTGCCGGTGAATTCATGCGCATCAATTCATCAAGCCACATGATATTGCCTCGTTTGCCTGAAGGTGCCAAGCAATTCGGACTATGCACTGCTGTTGGAGGATTCACGACTGAACCGTTTCTCGAGGCACTGCTTGGCAGATATGGCAATTGCTGAAGAGGCAGCAGACCAACACAGTGCGGACACGCTTCACAGCGCCATAATTTTGGCCAGTCATGGAGAGACGAGCGCTTCCCACAATTGGCCGCAAGATCCGAGACCACCCTCAACATGGGATTGCCGCCCAACCGATCTACCGCGACACTGGCAGCTAAACCGGCAGGTCCACTTCCAAGCAGCGGCTGAAAATGGCAGTGCCCTAGACCGATCATTCGAGCCTGAGTTGCTCAGGCCTGATCTTGCACGCGATGCAGGCGATGAGGACGAGCCGTGGGCCGGAAGAAGTTGTGCGCCAAACCAGCTGACATCAGATGGCTTCAAACAGGCCGTGCGTGTTGGAAGACAACTTGCTGGGCGCTACGGCGAAGCACTCCCACAAGCTGCACTGGACGTGTTAAGCGTGGATACAAAGCCTTCCCTGGCAACCGCGGTTGGAATCCTCTTGCCACTGCTTGCTGGACCTGCGTCATTTTCAACTGTGGCTGATGGTGCCACGGTGTCCATCACAACACGTGCTGGCTCGGAGACTCTCGTACTCCTTGGAGGGCAGGCCGTAGCCGCACTAGAAGATGCACAGTCTGGAAGCGACATCTTGTCCAGATGGTGCAACCATGGTACTTTGCCCTGCGCTGCTGATGCTTGCATGACGCCGAAGGCAGCAGCAGAACTTGTTGCTGACGGCGAAGCCCGCCTGTGCCAAGCGCTGTCGTCTTCATCGCTGCCTATAGCCAGATATTTGGAGAAGGCGAAAAACAGACATAGCGGCAGCTTCTCGATCTTGAGTGTCTCTGGCATTGACATTACTGCAACCCTCGTGCAGCTGTTGGGACGCGAGGCGTGCGAAGACGTATTGATGGCGCGCCCGCCGTGGTCCTCGGTCTTGGTGTTAGTGTCTGGCAGGTTGTAGTACTTTTTCGTTCTGTCTATTTTTCTTCCGCTCCACGCATACGTCATACATCCTGGCTAGCTTCTGCATGGATGATTCGACACATTGTGCTCAGGAGCGCCGGCTGGCAAATGGTACTCAGCCACTCTGGAAGGTGGTGTGGAATGGTCTGGATATCACCCAGCGCTTATCGTGCAACAAGCTATCAGACGGCTGCGCGGAGCACGACATACTAAATATTGCAAAAAAAAGCCTCGTGACTGCATATAGTCAGTCCTTTGCCAGCTCTCCATCATTTTTGTGACAGGCCAAGTGCGAGGTGGATAACATCGCTTCGGCCTTGATACAGGCTGCAGAGCCTGCAGAGCTGGCAGATGCACCGGCAAAGGACTCAAGTGACATGTGCGCACTTGCCATACTTGAGTTTTCCCCACCTTTGCAAATTTGAGTATTAGCACAGAGATGCTGCAGCACTTATGCGATTAGGTGCTAGGCAGGATTTCACCAGCATGCTGCAGCATTGGCTCTTCAAGCCGTCCCTTCTGCCCGGCGAAAGCTGACAGCAATCGGGTTTGAACCTCATTCTGTGGCGTGTGAAGGCTGGACTTGGCTTGACCTCCAAGCTGTTACATCCTGGCAGATGCCTCCTAAGAGCAAAATCAAATCGGTAGCTCGAAAGGCGAGCCAGAAGTGGCGACCTAGGGTTGGTGGGCGGTCACGCAGGCCTGACCCCCGCCAAACCTTGCAGGCTACAGAGCTCCTGCATGTCATCTTGCCAGAGATCCATGCTGCGGACGTCATCTGTGAATTCAAGAACGCAGCTGCTTCGAACGATGACCTGGCAGAGCTACTTCCGGATGCAGTGCCACCTTGTCCTCTTACTGTTGCATCAAACAGCGTTGAGGTTCCGATTGGCTGTGCTTCTCCTACCTGGAGAGTTAAGCCTGGTGAGAAGCTTTCGGCAATTAATGCTGGCTCTTATGTTTCTGCCGCGGCGTGGGCACCTCCTGATGATGTTGCCGTTTTGGCACTTGCAGTCAACAGCCGCGCTGGACCCTCTGTAGCAGCGGAAGGTCCCGTGCCAGGCACCTCTGCCACGCATTTCTGGCGTGTTGACATGAACAGCTCAGGGAAGTCAGCGTATCTGCGACTTGGAATTGTGCATGATGCGGCCAGTGTGCGTGGCTTGCAGTGGCTTCCCTCCAAACGCACAAGGGAAAGGCTGGGCTTGCTGTTGGCGACGCTATCCACTGGGGAGCTTCTCTTATACAGCCTGCCCACCGCCGCATTTCAAGAGAGGGCCATCAGTCGCACGCGCTTGTTCGCCCGGTTTGGACCTGCATGGCGGGCAAGAACGTCACCTGTAGGGGTCGAACCCGCAGATGCCTGGCAGAGATATGTGCAATGCGCAGCTGCTCGCGAAAGCACTGCAGACAAACACAGCTGCATTGTTGCTGGGGGGTGTGAGCGATCAGTTGTGCTACTGTGGCGGTTAACGTCCGGATCTCCGTTGCCACAGGGGCCTTCTGATGTTCTGAAACCTATGCTTCTAGACGCAGAGACTGTGATGTCCTTAGCCTGGTGCCCATCGCAGGAACTTGAGCTACTGGCCGCCGGTTTTGCGGGAGGGTATGTTGTACTCTGGAGCTGCCAGACTCCCACTGCGCCCTTGCGCAGCTTCACCCCAATGGTGCGAACCGCTCACATTGGTCTTGTCTGGGCTGACCAAAACAATTTGTGCTTGCCTGCTGATGGATCGTTTTACAACTTCCTGCACGGCCGCCTGGTCAGGCTTCGTCCTGACAGAAAGGGCTATGACTGCTTGCTATCATGTGGTGGGACGTGCCAAGCTACCACAGGCACCATATCAATCTGGTCAGATGGCGTTGCTTCCTTTCGGCAGCAGCCACTGATCCGGCAACGAACATTCTCTGGAGTCAGGAACGACGAGTCGGTTTTCCAGAGTTGGTGCGTGCCTGGTGCAGATCTAACAGATGCACCATTCCCAGACGAACCTGCCGATCCTCAGCCGAGTGAGAAAACCGAAGCCGAGTGCAGAGCCTTCAGGGAGCACTTGCCACTTGGTGTGATGGCTGCTGCGGAAAAGTGTGTGTGTGTGTGTGTGTGTGCGTGTGTGTGCGTGCGTGCGTGCGTGCGTGCGTGCGTTTGCGTGTTTGTGTGTCCGTGTGCGTGTCAGTCTCGTGTTAGAGTCCGCGCGGCGAAGCAAAAGTGCAATGTGGAGGCTTAAATGCAAGCGCCGCAGAGCAGATTCCGCGAGGGTGTTCTCCTGCATGCCGTTGGGGTCGCGTAAGCTCGCGCAAGTTTGTGTTGTGTGCAGGTTGTGCATAGTTTCGTGCTGAGGTTGCTGAAGCCATGCCTTGAAGGCATATGGTTTTCAGCTTCATACCGCTACAGCTCGTTTTGTGCAAGTTTGCATAGCTTTTCTGGTGGAATGAGTGCAGCGTAAGCGCCGGAAAGCTCATGCGCGTACAGTAAGCTCACAAGTAGTTTATAAATTGCGGGGACCTTGTTGCTAGAACATTTTGCGCTGCTCATCTGAGTGGGCAACAGTAAGACGACGAAGTCAAAAGTGGCAAATTGGCCCTCGCATGTGAGGGGCTGCCTTGAAAGTGACTGCGTCGCGTTTCATCAGTTTTCTTCTATCATCTTTATCTCGTACTGACTTGAGAAAAGACTCCTTTTCGCCTTGTGCAAAGTGACTGTTCAGGTTCAAGGCGTACCAGAACAACTTGCTGGCTCGGTACCGTGCTTGGGAGACCGAGAGCTGCCAATTGGAGATAAAGCTGGGTCAGGACGACACCGTCAAGGAGAGCAGCAAGGTGCCTTTGACAGATGCCGCGGCCAAGGAGTTCAAGCCTTCGGACAGCGCAGAGTCAGAGATCCTGCTTCTTAGCGTCACTTAATCATTGCTGGTTGGTTCCGCTGATCATGCCTCGTGATGCCTTTTATTGTGGCTTACCTCATTTCAGACGGTGTCCAGAATGCTGCTCTAGCTGTGATCTCATGATGTGGCCCTGGTTTTGCTGCGCCAAGAGACATAAACAGCCGTCGCGAGGTTGGAGGTTTGGGCTGTAGGAATGCATCACATTTTTCGCATTTGGTCAAGACGCGTAGATTTTGGCAATGTCAGCTCCATTAGCAATCATTAGCAAGATACTGGTGCTTGGAATTCACAATTTTCCAAATTCCCAACCTTGAAAAAACAACTGGCGCTGCAGAGGATCCATTGTTTTTTTCTTGCTCCTTCCTTGCCCAGGAAGGGCATTAAAGATTGTTTTTGCCGAACATGGGCCTTTCAGTAGACGCGGAAGCACTTCGCAAAGATGAGCAAGCTTTTGTTGTTCAATGACAAGAGGGTATCAACCCATGGGACATATTCAGCATGGCCACTACCTGCCCCCAAACAAAGAGTGAAAGACGTGTACAGGACCACCTTGGCAGGCAAGAGGGTTGCGTGAGAGTCGTTGAAAGTGAGTCAAAGGCAGGGCCGTTAGAGAATGCGTAAAGCACCATGAAATTTTCCTGGAAGCCACCAGTGGTTTTCATGCGGCTGCTTTCGCGCGTGCTTGGCCATGAGCATGCAAGTGGTGTTCATCTGTCTGGAGACGGGCGTTGCCGGAGGCGACATGCCTCAAGTCGGCGAGTCCAGCATGCCACACAAGATTTTGATGTTTTGCTGGAGACGCATACCAGTGCTGCACAGATTTTCTTTTGCTCAAAGGGTGGCCATCAGCAGCGCGGCTGGTATTGAGACTTGTCTGAAAAAGGCATGTGTTAGGTCGCACCCATAACGGTGTGGGTACAAGAGCGACTGTGCTGCATCTTCCTGAGGTAAGCTTGACATCCGCAGTTCCCACATCCATGAAGCAGCGAGTGCGGAAGGGCAAAAAAGAGCTCTTCGCTGCACCTTCCAGTCAACCCTAGAAGTGTAAGTAGCTGCCTGTCGGCGAGGCATGCTTCTTGTTGAATGCGTTCCGTAAGCACGTCTGAAACCTGCCCAAGACGCATGCATCCATAAGTGCAAGTGATTTCCTTGCCTAAAATCCAGTGAAGGAGCTGCCTTTGCATTTGTCAGTGCCGGTTGTACGATCTTCATTGGCGACTTCTCTACCAAAGGTCCGCTGCGCTTTCAATTCTCCTCGTGTTCCTGCGCTTGAGATTATGAAGCAGGCACAGAGTTCCGGGCATTCTGAGGCCGTGCCCTTCGTTTCCTCTGAGACATGGCAGGGCACGGGATGTGGATCAAACAAATCAATAAATAAGGATCAATAAGAAATCACATAAGGATCATCATAAAATCAAATAAGGATCAACAAAAAACAAAGTATTCTGTTTCAGAGGAAATCAAGGGGGAATCCTATGTCAGGAAGCAAGGAAGGAAGGATCAAACAAAAATCGAAATATTCTGTGTAGAGGAATTGAAGGAAAATCCTGTCTCAGGAAGGAAGGAAGGAAAAGGAATGAAGTAAAAAAAAAGGAGAAGGAAGAAAGGAAGGAGCAGATGTCGACCTGTATCATCATATTCCATCACTGTGCCCGGGGCCTCGGCTAGAGGCCGCGATCCTGGAGGCTTCGACCCTCCCCGAAAACCATTGCTGTCACGAAAAAGTATCGTTTCACCATAACGGAGATTTGTGCAGTTCATTTTGTTTCCAAATAGGGGGGGCTGTGCCCCCCCCGACACCCATGCCTGCTTTTTGATTACATCAATGCTTAATGTGGTTTTGACATCATTTTTGGTGTGTTTAATTTTTCATTATTTTTATAATGTTTATCATTTTTAACATTTTCATCATTTTCAGCGTGTTCATCATTTTCATCATTTTCTTCATGTTGTTTGTCATTATCTTCCTATCGTTCTCATTATTTGTCATCATTTTCATTATTGTTCATCATGTTGTTTGTCATTATCTCTGTCGTTTTCATTATGTGTCATCATTTTCATCACTTTCCATTTCATCAGTTTTCTATCATTTCCTATATCGATTTTCATTGTTTTCATGCATTCTAAACATGTCTCTTTCATTTTCATCAGTTTCATCATTTTCTATTAGGCATCATCATGTTCTATCATGTTTCATCATTCATCATTTTTCATCATTTTCTGTCATTTTCATTCTTTTTCATCATTTTCTATCTTTTTTCAATATCTCAGTATTTCATGGTTTCCATCATTTTCCCTCATATTCTCTATTTTCATCATGTTGAATAAACATGTTTCATCATGTTTCACTATTGATCACCATTGTTTATGATTGTCCATCATGCTCCATGTTTCTGACATTTTCATTTTTTCAATTTCCCATGATTTCTCTATCATCTGCATAATTTGTAATAATTATCATGCTTCAGCACGTTCATCAGCTTCATTATCGTTTATGACATTTCATCTTGCTCATTTTTTAATATCATTTCAGTGCTTCATCACTTCTCATCATCTTCTGTAACCTTCGGAAGATTTTCATCATGTTTCATCATGTTCATCATTAATCATCATTGGTCATTTTCTACCATTTTCATTATTTTCATCATTTTCGATATGTTTCTATCATTTTCATTATTATATGATTCTTCATAATTTGTTTATCGCTCTCGCGTGGGGCTCGCTCACATTTGAACATTTTGATTTTTTGGATCCTCATTTTGATTCTTTTTCATCATCGGCTTTGTTTTTATAAAGTGTTTTTTCATAATTTTCTTTCATGTTGCATCACTTCTATCATGTTTCATCATATTCCTTCCGTGTTTCATCATTTTACGGTCATGTTGCATCATTTTCTACCATGTTTCATCATTTCTTATCATGTTTCATCATCCCATTATCATGTTCATCATTCTACTATCATGTATCATCACTTTCTACCATTTTTCATCATTTGCTATCATGCATCATCATTTTCTACCATGGTTCATCATTTTCTAGACGGCTTCATCATTTTCACCGTTTTTCTTTCATTTCTCGTCATCTTTCTTTTCTTTCTTATCATTTCATCATTTTTAATGAGTTTCATTCTTTTTTCATGGCTCTCGCGTGGGGCTTGCTCACCTTTGAATGATTTGTTTTTTGTATCTATCTTTTTGTTTTATCATCGATTTTGTTTTTGGTCCTTATTTGATCTTTTTGATCCCTCACCCCCGGACGCCGTTGTTCATGTCCTGATGTGGCTTGTGAAGGCTTACCGCAAGCGAGGAGACATCGAGCGTGAAAGGGCAGTCGCTTATCTCCGTGAACAAGCCGTCGAGGCACATGGATTTGCAACCGTGAGCTGTTGAAGAAATGCTACAGGATGCCGACTATGAAATTTGCTGAGCCGGGCGTGCTGCTTGCTTTGGCTTTTCGCTTGGCAAGGCTCAGCACCAGCATGAAGCTGATGCAGCGCGCGCTCGCATTCATCCCAGCTCCCCCTTGGCTTGTTTTGCAGCTAGATTATTTGCTTTGTTCATTTTGATGCGCACGAGCTAGTAGGTCGTGGTTGTGATAGTTGTGGTGATGTGGTGTCGTGTGGTCGTCAGGCGGCTGCTTAGTCAGTGAACCGCATTCAAGACTCCTAGAAGCATGCGATGAAGGGTGAGACGGGTACGTCGTTTATGTAGTGAAGATGCAGTAATTGGTTGCTGGCAATTGGACCTGTGTGCCTGTGTTTCCGTACTTGTGCATGTTCATGTATGTCTAGACCCCGGTATTTGGTTCTCATCTAGATTTGATTCTGCTCGATGGGATCCGAATTTTGTGCAGATTGTCCAGCTGTCTGCGGCTAATGGGGTTCGCTTCTATGTAATTTTCCAGGTTTTTGGAATGTTTTGGATCTCAACTTTTTGCAGGTTAGATTTTGTCCATCCGGACTGTTTGGGCCGGCTTCCTGAATGCCTTTTTCCATCCTGCATGCTGCTTATCTTCCGGGTTTCGGAGGCTGTTGCTATCCGCACTGGGTTCGATTCGGGTCACTTGGAAACTGCGCCAGCAAATTTTTGGGGCGCGAACCTATTTCCAGAGAGAGCATCAGAGAGTGTGGCGAAGGCATGGGTGTTCCGGGGTTTGGCAGTACATATGTTCCTGCGTAGTTTGTTTGCAGGCAAGTGCTTGCGTGTTTGGGTTGTGTGGTCCTCAATTGCACTGGCCTGGACATGCTGCGTAAGAACGTGTGAAGGACTAATCCCTGGACATCCTTGTTGATTGCAATGTTTGCTGGCGGGAGACCGTCAGATTGGTAGGAAGCAAGCGATATAGGCAGGGCCGGCAAGAGTGGTTCGTTTTTTGTCCCGGAGACATCTTCCCTTCGCGACGTGACAACATCACAGCGTCAGCAGTCATGGGGATCGCGGGGTCAGGGTTGCCTTCCTCGTAGACGGCGTCTCTTTCTCACATGTCACGTCACCGGGATCGTGGAGGTCATGATCGCCCTCCTCGTAACAACGGTCATCTTTGGACTTCCCATTGTGGTGGTGTTTCAAAAGGTCAACAGTGACCGGGATTGCATGAGTGAGGCGGGGTCGCCATCATTGTTTCTGATGACAGACATTCTGCTTCCATAGACATTTGAGTGAAGCTCTAGTGAAAACCTTAACCACAGCTTTAAGAGAAGCCAGAAAGAAAGTTTTAACAGAAGCCGTAAGAGAAGCATTTGATCTAAGCGTTATAGCAAGCTTTGATGGAAGCGCTGTGGTCAGCCAGTGCTCTGACAGAAGCTCTGGCAGAATCTTGAAGTGAAAGCTTTATTCAAAGAATTAATGATAGTAGCTGCAACTTTCAGCACTGCTAGAAGCTTGACGAGACGCTTGAAGAACAGTTTTGATGGTGGCTTCAACGGCTGCTAGAACAGAAGCTCTGGTTAGTGGAAGCTTTTTGAGAAAGCCTCAAAGAACTGCCTGAATGAAGCTCCAGTGGAAGCATTAACAGGCGCTTCAATAGAACCTCTCATAGTATGCACTTCATACAGTAGAGGCGTTGCTGGTAGCCTAAGCTTGCGTATATTCTTGAGTATCTAAGCTCCATTAGAAATATATCATTTGGATAATGGCTTAACAAAAGCCTTCACGACAGCCCGGGGGACTTGTCGCTGTCACAAGCGTTTGCGGAAGGTCTGCTGTCTAGTTTCAGCACCACTAGAAACACGTTCTTGCTTGCTCGCGCCCTTCTGTCTACTGAGCATTGCGAGAGTTTTTCAGACTAGACAAGGATTTTTTGCTTCAAAGCGAGAGCCCTGAAAGCAAGATCGCTATAACCATCACCGAAATAACCAATGAACGCCAGTGGAGAAAGGACCACCAAGAGTCATTACCGATGCCCTCCTTGAAGGATTGACTGAGGCCAAGCTTGTACTTGTACCTCTACCCTTGTTGCTGAGTTGCATCATATTACTGGATAACTATGATGATACAGAGCCTTCATTCCCACATCCAAAGACATTCAATGCTTCCTTTCCTTGTCTCATGGCACGCATATCGCCCATATATCGTGCTTCCCAGCATTTATACAAAGATCCTACAAAGCAATCAACTGTTTAATGTATACGTAGCAGCGGCTATCCTCAAGTTTCACTACTCCACATAACTATAACCAAGAGGATTTTGTGCAAAGACTTTTTCAGTCTGCACGTGAGAAAAAAGAAGAGCCGGGATGAGTATGCCTTATTCTAGGAGACTGCTGCTGAAGCCGGGTTCTCCGATTGCGAAGGTCTTCAAACCATGTACAGGAGCCAAAGCCTCAAATTCATTGAACACCATCATAGCTCTGGAAACTCATGCTTCTGCAAATGCCTTCTGGCTCTCAAGAAAATGATGAAAACGGTTGTATGGATACTGTCTCTTCGATGATTTCCGTGAAGGTTTAGAAGCCAGGGATAGGAGCCCGAGCTTGAGATTTCCTGAAAATCATGGAACTTATAGAAGCATGTAGTCTTGGCTTTGCAGAGAAACTGATGAAAGCATTGGCGAAGTAAGGTTTTCTATGTCCTCAGGGATCCTGAAATGTCTTCAGAAAATGACATGTGAAAGCGCCGGGCCTGCCTAGTCATGCCGCACTGCTTCCCTAACATTGGGTTGCTTGTTTTATGGTGACCAGAAGCCGAACCATGTACTGGCGATGGCTGGAAGAAGCACGCGCATATTCAACCTGCCCCACGTACCTCAGTCTCCCCACTTTCTGCACTTGCCCCACTAGCTGTGTGCCTCACTCACTAGGTTCATTAAGTTAGACTTGCGTAGAACGAAAGCCAGAAGTTGCAGAACTTTTTGAAACCTGCTCTCTCTCAAGCTGCACGGGGGCAATTCAATGATGGTTTAGTTTTTTTGGATGCTAAGGCGCCGGACGGGGACTCTTGGATCAACTGCCTGCCTTGCTTGGAAGGGACTTAATGGCCGTTCCCCAGGGTTGATTGAGGCGGAAGCTTAAGGGATGCCTCAAGGAGCTTAGCGCGACTTGCTCTACTCTATTTGCTGCAACTCAACTGGCCACGCAAGCTTGGCAAGATGCACAGGTGAATGAAAGCAGTCGGGGGGCAAGTAGGGCGTGGGAAAACTGAGGCACTCTAGAAAGTGCGGCAACTAGCACAATCGAACTGGCAGACCCAGTGTCTCAGGAAGGGGCCCGCATTCCCAGACGTGGGAGACATGGGAAGAGATTTAAGCAGGCAACCGGGGCAATGCCAACCTTCCTTTCCGCCTGATGCCAACACTCAAATGCGAACACAGGGAGGTGAAATCACTCAGTGGTATCTCATCAGGTTGGCAGTATCTGATTCTTGTAGTGTTGCCTGTTGGTGCTTCTTGTGTCCGGCGAATCCCCTTCTGGAGAAATGTGCTTGCAGGAAGAGACAGGTGGCAGCTGAAATTGCTAGAAGGGCTTTCTAAAGGCAAGTAGTTAGCTTTGTAAATAGGAGCACGACGGAGAAGGAAGAACGATAGCAAAAGAGAGCATTGCTCTAGCGCCTTGCGGAGCGAAGAGACCAGAAGATAAAGAAGAACGCGGGCAGAATGACAGGAAGATGACGGGAGACAGCAGGTCCAAACTCCCCCGACAAAAGGAGAACAGCATTCAAGAGCAATGGCACGAGGGAGCTGCTTTGCAATTTCAGCCTCCGGCGCTAGGACGCCACTGTCAAATCATGAAAGCTCGGAGTATTTGTGACTCTGGATTCATGCCTAAGGGGAAGCTGTGGACTTTCGACGGTGGCCGCAGGGAGCACAAAAGGAGCTTGCTCTGGATACACGTCGTAGCAGGACAGCAAGCCCCAAAGTTTCCGAAGCGAAGGACAGCTTCCAGACAACTACTGCCAGCCAGGCAAGGCAGGGAATGCCAGGGCTTCAAGAGGGAAACGTTGTTTGGATGTGAGGCCCTTGCTCAGCGGCAAGGTTACCCATTACTTGGTCATTGGCAGATGTTCAGGTGCTGTATGATAGGTTTTGGGCAAGGCAGCGAGGAGTCTTTCAGAGCAAGCGCAGTGCTGGTGAGTTTGAATTACAGCCCCTTGCAGGAACCGTGTATGTCCTTCGGCTCAAGGATGATTTTGTTGGGAAACAGCAACAAGTTGGCATGCAGGCTGAGTGTGCAACTTGAAAGAAATTCGTGCTCCAACTTTGCAAGGCCCAACACGTCTCTAGATTCTTTGGCCGCACGGTGCTAACAGGAAACAGTTGGGCTGGAGTAGGCAGCACGGTTCTTCACACAACAGGTCCTCCACCGGCACAGGAGGGTTGTACGGCTGCATGGGAGGACACAGTCTGCAAACATCCATCCAGCACATTCAGTGGGTTGGCAGTGTGGAATTTTGCCACTAGATTGGCACGCATTATACTTATACACACCTGTGGCATCTGCTCCTGGCGTACAGTAAGAAAGGCCATGGGCAACTCCTCTCCCAGATCACCCCCTGAGCTGGAGTTTGGCAGCTCCGAACCTGCCTTGCAGGCAGGCATGTTTGACTACCATGCAGAGAACATGCCAAAGGCAGACTTCCAAGCTGCCAGGATTTGCTTCAGGAATGCCTGAAGCTGAAGCCCCAGCAGAAATCGGCACTGATGGGGCTTCTGGGGACTGCTATAGGCGATGCCGTTGGCTTACCTTTTGAGCTGCTCGACCGCAGTAGTACTTCTTGGAGTCTTTCTTGGATCCAGCATCGCCGCATTGGCCTGTCAAACACTTGGAACTTTAACATGGGGAACGTCCGGGGCACAAGATTGGGATGGCTAGCAAACACCATCACCCGCTCATCCCCATGACAAGTGCTTCTGGGCCTTCACGAGAACTTGACTTTGATATGTGTTCGGGCACTGTTGCGTGAAATTTGTTTGTTGGGCAATGATTGGAAATCGGACATGTGAGCAGGAAAATAAACTGCAGTTGACTGTCCTTGCTTTGCAAGCACGCGAGGCTGCACTCAAGAGCCAGGAACCGAGAACAGCTTGCCAAGCAGCAAAGAGCCTCCAGTGACTTGTTGCATTTTTGATGTTCAGAGTCATCTTGGTCTATGGTGTTATTGGCAGCTAGTAGGTCAAGCGGACTGCAAGGGTAATACAGCTATGTTTCAAGTTTGCAGATGGCAGCGTGGCTTCTCTCAAGCGCGCGTGCCCTAAGGTGAGCCGGTGGCAACCTTTTGGTCGGACGTTATGCCTTTCTTGAGCTTGGGCTTATCGCAAGCCGAAGGCCTTCATTTGGCATGTGTCGCCAGGGTTTTTTGGATGCCCCGAAGAACTGAGTACAACAAGCCATTCTCATAATCTCTACTTACGAAAACGCTCGGCTCAATTTCCGCGAACATTGTTGTGCATGGCATCCAGTCGTCTGTCTGCTAATGCCGAAGCTTTGTTTTGACACTTGTTGTGAAAATGGTAGCGGTGTTCTGCCCTCATGTTTGCACGGCATTTAAAGGTTTGGCTAAGACTTCGACAAGTGCAAGCGATTTGGTGGCTCAACACGCATTTTTTTACATTCTTCGCGGGCCCGCCCGAACAGGCAGTTTTCCACTGGCCTTTGCTCCCGCTTGTTCAGGTTTGCAACCACTGATACTTGTAGTGCATGCTACCAATGCAGTGGCGAACCAAATTGTGTGCGTGTGCGTGTACACCCTGATTCTAAGCTAAGGGCTTTTGGACATGTCTGTAAGATTTATTTCCTTTCGCTAGGACCAGGGTAAAAAGCGTATGTACTCAGCTTGTGGAAGCTTTTGCAGTCATTAGAGCCGAGGGGCCGGAGATGACTTGCTTATCCGGTCCAACGAAGCTACGGCGAGTCAGTGGAAGCGAGGGCTGATTACCTTTGCGTACCTGCTTGTGCAGAGCGGAATCCAGTTTGCAGCCAGTTCTGGAGTGTCAGCCAATTTGGAGTGTCGCAGCTTCTTTCGACAAAGACATGGTCAGGACAAAGTGGATTGCAGCCTCATAGTGTATTTTTGTACGGAGGCATGCGTGTATGGTGAGTTGATGAACATGTTCATGTGGTTAGGTATGTCCTTTGTGCATATGCGCCCGGGTTATGTTTAGGACGTTCTTCAATATGTACTACTTGTAGCAGGCGCCCCGGTGGGAGAGGGGTTTAAAAAACAAATAAGGATCAACAAAACCGTTGTAGAGATGAATTGTTGTCCTCCCGAGTGGGCTGGGCGTATGATGGCATTGTTGTGAGCGTCATCGGGTGCTTGCGGGATGCTTGACGGACTCAGCTGGTTTCACATGTCTAGCGTGCCCTTGCTGCGCAAGACCCTCTGGATGGCACGGGAGAGAGAGACAACCACAAATAAGGATCAATAGAATAAATGAGGATCAACAAGAAAAACAAAATCCTGGATTTTATAGTGCAACTCAGTTTCTCTGGCCTCCCCAGCAGGGATCACAATAAAAATAAGAATTCGAGCCCCGAGAGGGAGGAGGAAAGAAAAAAGGAAGGAAGGACGCAGCGGCCTCGGTTAAGTTTGTTCTGGAGCCTACCAAGACCGAGGTTGTCCTTCCTGGCCCGACTTGCGGCCCAGACTTGCGCGGCCTGCCTGACGGATTTGTGTGTCGGGCAGGCCAGTTCGAGCTCCTCGGTGCGCCCGTTGGAGGATTGGCCTTTTGCAGCCAATATTCCTTGCAGCGCCGAGTTGACACCGCACAGTTGTGCTTGGACGCACTCTGCCAGCCACCCGACTCTCAGACCGCGCTCCCGTTGTTGCGGTACTGCTCAGCCTATGCCAAACTCTCATACGCCATGCGGGTCACGCCGCCAGAGGCCCACAATGCTGCGGGTTTGGTTAGCTTGTTGCGCAAATAGAAGGGTTGCAATTTGGTGAAATGGCATGACGCCAGTCCTCACTCAGAACAGCCATGGGTGGCCTCGGCTTGCGTGGCGCTGCAGCCCATGCCACGGCAGCATATGTGGCTGCAGTCTCCTCTATCACTGCGGCGCGCCGTGTTGTCACCACTGTCCCGGAGCTGTCACGTGCCCTGGCGCAGAACAACTCTGCCGTTGTCCCTTCCGATGCCTTGCCGCCAGCCGCTGTCGGGCGCGCTGGATGGTCAAGAGCTCCGTTTGCTTGTCCATATACGCTTACGGCTATTGCACATTCCGCGATGGGGTTGCAGACCGCTTCGGCGATCATGGGCGAGCGTGCCCTTGCGGCAGCGACCGCTGCAAGTGCCACAACCGGCTCCGTACTCTCGTTGCGAGCGAGCCGCCGCCGCCCCTTCGGCTTGTCGCCTGACGTTGAGAAACCAGGCCTTTAGCCGCCCGGGCAAACAGTCCAATCGTGAAAGCCGAGAATTTGAAGGGTAAGGGGCAAACAGTCTAACCATAAAAACGGAGCATTTTGAGTGTAACAGGGAAAGAGTCTGACCGTGAAAGCGGAGAATGTGAAGGGTCAGGGGCAAAGAGTCTAACCGTAAAAGCAGATAGTTTGAAGGGTAAGAGGCAAACAGTCTTACCGTAAAAACGGGGAATTTGAAGTGCAACAGGGAAAGAGTCTAACCGTAAAAGTTGGGAATTTGGAGTGCAACAGGGAAAGACTCTAACCGTGAAAGTTGTGAATTTGAAGGCTAAGGGGCAAACAATGAAACCGTAAAAGCGGAGGATTTGGAAATGTACGGGGAAAGAGTCTAACCGTGAAAGCGGTGAATAGGAAGGGTAAGGGGCGAGTAGTCTAACCGCAAAAGCTGAGAATTCGGAGTGCAACAGGGAAAGAGTCTACCCGTGAAGGCAGAGAATGTGAACGGTAAGGGGCATGCAACAGAACGATAAAAACGGAGAATTTGAAGAAGTGTAAGGGGCAAACAGTTTGACCATGTCTGACCAAAAAAGCGGGGAATTCGAAGGGTAAAGGGGAAACAAGTCTACCCGTACAAGAAAATTCGAATGGTTTTGGTAGCTTGCTCAAATCGCAAGGGGTGCCCCCTAAGTTTTTTCAAGGAATCAAGGCCCCAAATCTCAAATCGCAAGGGGTGTCCCCCTAAGATTTGTCAGAGAATCAAGTCCCCAAACCTCCAATAGCAAGGGGTGAGCCCTTAAGATTTTTCAACAAATCAAGTCCCCAAATCTCAAATCGCAAGGGGTGTCCCCCTAAGATTTGTCAGAGTATCAAGCCCCCAAACCTCAAATAGCAAGGGGTGAGCCCTTAAGATTTTTCAACAAATCAAGTCCCCAAATCTCAAATCGCAAGGGGTGTCCCCTTAAGATTTGTCAGAGAATCAAGCCCCCAAACCTCAAATAGCAAGGGGTGAGCCCTTAAGATTTTTCAACAAATCAAGTCCCCAAATCTCAAATC